GAGACCCTGTCTCAAAATAAAGAATAAAAATGACTGGGGATGTAGCTCAGTGGTAGAGGGCCCTTAGACTGAATCTCTAGTATGGCAAAAACAAACAAAGCAAAGCAAAACAAAACAAAAAACAAATAGGAGAACTTTTTTTTTTTTAAAGAGCTTACATTTGGCCTTTTTTAGACTTCATAATAACTTTTCAAGGTATTATTGTCCTCTTCCATTATAAAATAATAAAATAAAACCTGAAGCAGTTATATCATTTGCTCAAGGTGGCTCAGTTGGTAAAGCCTAGTATTCAAACCTGAGTGTGCTGGACTTATTGTCTCAGCACATCAAATTCTATGACAACAATCTTTGCTTAGGTGAGACACAGTATGATATGCATGCTGTACCAACTACTCTGAAAAGCACCAGTGAAGAGTGAACAGTGGTCTAGAATAGGTGTCAGCAAACTTTCTATAAAGAACCAGATTGCATAAATGTTAATTTTGCAGACTGTTACAGTCTATCACAACTCCATAAATCTGCCCTTTTAGCATAACAGCAGCCACAGACAATACATAAAGGAATTGGTATAGCTGTGCTCAGAAGGACTTTATGGACACTGAAATCTCAATTTTACACAATTTTTACAATTGCCACAAAATATTTCCTTGATTATTTTTGAATCATTAGAAAATGTAAAAACTATTCTTAGCTCTATGACTGTTCAGAAACAAGTTGAAGTCCAGATGTAGCCTATGGGCTAAGATTTGCTAACTCCTGACCTATAACCCAAGCAAGTGCTGTCCAATGGGACTTTCAGTAATGATGGAAATGATCTAATATGTATGGTCCAACACAGTAGCCTGTAGCTACCTACCTACAACCAGTAAGCAGTTGAAATATGACCAGAGCAACTAAGGAACTGAAATTTTGTTCCGATTTTTTTTCTAATCTTTTTTTTTTTTTCATACCAGGGATCAAACTCATGATCTCGTGCTTACAAGGCAGGCGCTTATGCCACTGAGCTAAATCCTCAGTTTTCAATTTCTTTTTCTGACAGAGTCCAGAATGGCCCATGTTCCCCAGAATGGCCTTAAATTCCTGGATTTAACTAATAGTTCTGCCTCAGCTTCTCAAGTAGCTGGGACTACAGAGGCACACTGCTGCATTTAGCTTATGACTAAAATTTTTAATTTTCCTCTTCTTCCATTCTTTTCTTTTTTTCATTTTTATCGGTACCGGGGATCAAACTCAAGACTGCCTGTTTGCAAGGCAGGCGCTTATGCCACTGAGCTAAATCCCCAGCCTCTCCCTTCTTCCATTCTTGTCCTTATGATTTTCGTAATGATTAATGTAGTCTCCCAACTAGTTTCCCTATCCCCTGTTTTATTCTTCCAATCCATCCTTACAAAGCTAGAGGAATTTTTCTAGTATCAAATGGGATCCTATCACTTCTCCTAGGTAACTTTTGTTAGTTTCTTCTAGTAACTTCTAGTAAGTTCAACTTGCTAGGATACCATATAAATACTTTTGTTAGGAAATGACAAACAGGTGAAATACTTTTCTTTAATAAAAAAAATGAAGGTTAAGTTTCTTTTTTTTTTTTTGTCTTCTTCCTTTTTATCAGTAGCAGGTACTGAACTCACAACTACACACTTGCAAGGCAGGCACTTATGCCACTGAGCTAAACCCCCAGCCCCAGAAGGTGTTTCTTTTTTTTTTTTTTTTTTTTTTTTAATTTAAGAGGAAAAAGAGAAAAACACAAAACAAACCAAAGCGGCGTAAGGGTACACGCAATACAGAACTACAAAACAAAACAAAACAAAACAAAAAACCGTAACAGTAAGAAATTACCTGCTAGTAGATTACACACTATTTTCTTGAAAATAGTTCCTCAAATCACAGTATCAAAGAACACAAGGTGGACATTCAAACAGGGAGACTGCAAACAGCTGTGTTCAATGTTCCAAAAACATTGATAAAGTCAGCTATTTAACACCCCCAAACACCCTTGCTGTTATATCCGTTAGTGCTCTTTTTCTTTTTTTTTTTTCCCTCTCTTTTTTACAACAAAATTTACACATCTTGGATTTTATTACTCCTTAGTGCTTATTACTTTCTTTGGGGGGGGGGGGAAGAATACAGTCAAATATGGCAAAACAAAGCTGTCAGTCAATACCAAGGATAGACATAGCACATGGTGTAGAACAGAGTACAAGTTTATCAACAATGGTTATCAACGTTGCCCCTTGTTTCCTTAAAAAGAATTGTCTATCTTATTAGATATTATAAAGTTGGACAAAACAGTAGAGAACAAGACCAATAAAACTTAGGCATTGTAAACATTACAGGACTTCCAAAGAAGACAATAGTCAAACCAGAATGGGTATCTTAGTGAATCTTATTGTCTTCAAAGTAGTTGCCTATGTCTTCAAACTTGATACTATCATATAGAGTGGAACAGAGTCTATTCAGTCAAAACAAGATCGTGGGAGTACTACAGGACTTCAAAACAAGTTAATAGGAAATCGAAAAGAGTTACTATTTATATATCCTAATTTTTTTGAATTTTTTATTTAATTAAGACAAACATAAGAAATGACTAAATAATTTTTTTTGAAACAATAAGGGGGATATTGAGATAAAACAGGACATAACAATATAACAATAGAGGTCACAGCATGACTGTTTCAATAACCTAGTACTTCACCACAGAAGGTGTTTCTTAAGAGAAGTACATTAGAGAAGTACTATATTGTCTTCTCTTTTTAATCCTTTGAACCAGCATCCCTTTAAGGTGCCCTGGCTGGCCTTAACTCAGAATCCTTCTGCTTCAGCTTCCCAAGAAGCTGGCATTACAACATGCAGCATTCCATCCAGCTTTGCTCTAATGTTTTACCTTGGATGTAGTGAAGAAAAGTTGGCTTTGGTGATGCAAAGCTTACATTAAGACCTCACTTTGGTACATGCGAAGCAGTTAGAAAAGGTTTCTACCTTGAACTTCTTTATGCACACTCCTGTAGTAAATGAGAATGAAAACTATGTTGGAGTTGTGAAGATCAATAAATGAGTTAAATAGAAGTTCTTTGCATTTAATAAAAAGCTATATTAATATTGTTTTAATAAATATCAAACTTTTAAGTGTTATTAAAAGCAGTATTGGACTGATATTACCTACTGAATATTCTCTCTCTCTCTGTTTTTTTTTTTTTTGTCTTTTTCCTTTTTATCGGTACTGGGGAATCAAACTCATGACTGCCTGCTGGCAAGGCAGGCACTTATGCCGCTGAGCTAAATCCCCAGCCCATATTCTCATTTTTAAGGACATTGCATGAGGCAACAATAAGGACATATCCATTTGATACTTGAAGAAAAGGAGGCTCCAAAAGAACAATTTTGGCCTATTATTCCAAAAATTTCTTGGAATTGTGCCTTTTCCATCTTTAGGTCTGACATTGTACTTTCTTCATGCTTATTTTTCCAAGTAGTAGTTTCATCAGTAAATACCCATGGGCAGTTTTTTGTTTTGAAAATGTACTGAACTATATACCCGTCTCTCTCTCTTTTTTTTTTTTTTAGACAGGATCAAGACCTTGTTTAGTCAATAAAATGCCTAGGGTGGGTGTAACTTGCTATCTTCCTTTCCTGCCTCAGCCTCCAGAGTGCTGGAATTACAGGCATATTTGATCATGCCGGGTTCCAATGGACAGTTGATTAATGAGAGCTAAATGCTGACATCCCAGCAACAAATCAAAAAGAATAAGACGGGATGTGGTGATGCACACCTGTACTCCCAGAACTTGGGAGGGTGAGGCAGAAGGATCACCTAAAATTTGACGCCATCCTAGGCTACATAGTGATTTCATGGCCAGCCTGGATCACACAGCAGGGCTCTGTCTCAAAAAACAAAAACCAAGTAAATATTTATTTTTAAGCATCCACAGGAACTTTTCAAATTATTTTTATCAATGAGTTCAAAGATTATAGGAAGGGCATTACCATTAGCTAGGAGGATAAAGTGAAAAAAATTATCAGCTGGGAGAAGGAAGTAAAGGAACAAACTCAAGTTCACCTAGGAGTGTTCCTCTCCCTTCTATGGCACATCCTCAAGCTGGATTTCTTTCAATTTATTCAATTCTCAGTTCTTGAAATTAATGTGACACCACTATTTTATGAAATGCAAAAAGAGACATCGTTGAATGATCATTATGCTTTTTTTTTCCTATGAAGAGCAACAAGATTTCATATTCCTTTACTTATGGCTTTCAAAGCACTTAATGGATTTGATTCAGAACATTTATAGGTAAACGGTGAGGAAATGTCTGTAAGACCCACTCCACTCTCCGGATTAAGACGTCTCTCTGGAGACATGTCTTTATATTTTATACAGTTAATATTTTACTCATTATTATATGTTTGTCTCACCCTGTCTCAGAAGAACTGGCATATAATAAATCACACTAACCTACTAGGTGCCGTTCCTGCTTGTTTTCTATGGCGTTCAAACTCGCAGTCCCTATTAAGCGCTCAGTAAACTTGGTGGCCTGCCTCTCCTGTTGCAGAGCCAGGAGAGATCGCGGGCTGCAATCTCCAGCTCCCGGGCGTCCTGAGCCTCGAAGCTCTGCAGCAGCACACTGCCTCTCCCTCGGAGACTTTAGCATCTAATCCGTAGGGGTATTTTCTCTCAAGTAACTCTTTGCATTGGCATTGGCTTATTTCTTCAAATATCGAATTCTAAGCAGCACTTTTTATATCGTACAGATCCTCTCGAAGAGTTGGAAGAGCCTAGCAGGAGAAAAAAAGGGCTTGCCAAGCAGACACCAGTAATTAAGGTGGGGAAACCTGGATTCTCCGCGGGGAGAGCCTGGGCTGAGTGGGTGGCGGCTTGGCAGCGGAGAACCCCACGTGACCTCAGGGGCTCCGGGCACTGTCGACCCCGCCCCTCCGCCCGCGGCCGGGGGGCGCATGCGCAGCCCGTGTTAGTGATGGAGGAGAGAAGATGGCGGAAGCGGAGTGAGTGACTTGTTGGTGACTGATGTCGTAACCGGGGGGCGAGTTGGGCAGCGACACGTCCCTCAGGGGGAGACTTCAGGGCTCTTTCGCGGGCAGTGCAGGGAAAGGGAGACCCGAGAACCATCTTACAGTGGAGGAGCCCGCTTGGCCCTGGTCTGGGGACCGACGCGAGCTGGAATGGTCCAGTTATCCCCCTGGCGGAGCTGCCCTTCCGCTGTCAGGTCCCGGATTGTCAGGGCCCTGCACGCATGGGAACCCCTGGGGCTGCGGTCGCTGGAGTCCTGCGGGAAACCGGGCCCTGTGGGCCCCTGAGGCGCTGTCATCCCTGCCAGTGGGCCCCACGGGCTGCTGCCGCCGGGCGCCCTCGGAGGCTGGGTAGGGAGGGCACGCACTCCAGGCCTCCCTGGAGCTCGCCTCCTTCTGCCCGGCGCCGCCCCGCTGCTCGGCGCGAGACTCTGCTGCCCTCTGGCCTCCTGCGGGGGGCGTGGGGAGCTGTCCTGGCGCGGGCCTGGTCGTGACAGGGGCTGCCGCCTGGGGTACAATTCAAAACACCAGGGGAGGAAAGAGCTTCCCCGCGGGTCTTTGACTGCAGAGCTGATGCCTCCCCGGAGGGCCACATTCTTGTGCAGCAGTGTGATGGTATGTTTAGAGACTCTAAAACTTAGTTTCCTGCGTAGGCCTCTTGTGAACTGCCTGCTGTATTTTGCAGGTATTAGTACACTTAGACGCCGGAGTTACCAAAATCTTTTGTGCCAGGCCTCCAAACTCAACGGGTTGGTTTGGCCAGTTGCACTCACCAGTGTTTAAACTTAACGCCTAGAATTTAAATTGTCTGCGACCATTTTTGGTCAGTAGTAAAGACTGCTTAGCATGATGTTTGGGTTTTAGGGCATGGTTGAACAGAGTAAAACTTTAAAAGGACTAGAATTTGAGCAAGTTTTTTGAAGATCTCTGGTACATGGTGCAGAAGTGTTATGACAGGCAGTAGTTTGGTGAAAAGTTTCTCTTATCTACTAGTAAATCTCTGTAATATTGAACAGTTACCATATGATACTGTGATTTTTTTTTTTTTTTTTTTTTTTTTGTCTTTTTCGTTTTTATCGGTACCAGGGATCGAACTCACGACTGCCTGCTTGCAAGGCAGGCGCTTAGATAGTGGTTTTTTGATAGTGTGATTTGATGATTGAAAATCAGTTTGACAAAATGGCAGGGAAGCGTAAAAGTGTGTGATTCTTTTTCTAATCATAAAATGTGAGAGCGCCTAGTCCCAATTGGAAATGTTTTTACTTTGCTTCTTCAGAGCCTACAAATACTGCTTACATATGCAATATAGAACAAAAAATTTATGTGTTAAAGGAATCCTAGAGGAATAATACAAGCTTGTCCAATTAATGCCAAATTCTTTGTGTGTGAAATAGAAAATGTTCTTGTTACATTCTTGTCAGTTCTTCTGCAGTGTGAGTTGGGTTACATTTGTTTCTCAGGAGAAAAGAACTACGTGAAAAAGCAGATACAATGTGGTATTTATATACAATGGAATACTACTCTGCCACGAAGAAGAATAAACCTGAGTTATTTATAGGAAAATGGATGCAGCTCCAAACCATAATCTTACATGAAATAAATGGACACCCAAGTTTAAATACTGCATTTTCTCTCTTGTGTGAAAAACCCAAAGGGTAAATAAAAATCATACTACAGGACAGATACTGGGAAGTAGGAAGAACATGTTCAAATGGAAAGGGGAACAAGGGGTGGGGGGAGAAGGGAAAGAATGGGAAAGAAAAGAGGGAAAATGGAAACAAAGCTTTTGTAAGTGAAGAAGGGGAGAAAGATTGAATAGAGGTTAGGGGAATGGGGAAAAAAGAATCAAGATACATTGTGTACAGGTACAAATTCCCTATGATGAATACGATCAATATGTATGACAAATATGTAATAATAGAAAAATAAGGTTAAAGAAAAAAGGAAAACCAGTATAACCTGATCTATTTTTCACCATCATGCACATTTTTGGTCCTGAAAAATACCAAAGTTCTACATAGTTTTTGAACAATATTTTTTGAACAATCCTTAGATTTGACTTTGAATGTTTTAATTTATTCAGATGTGGATTCTGTGTTGGGTGAATTTCTGTATCACAAAATAAGCGAGGAATAAGATTTTTAAAAGTCTGGTACAGAAATGTACTGCTCTTAAGTTTTCAAAATTTAGAGCAATTCTTTTTTGAAAAAAGGATTTTATAAGGATGTGGGATGTTACTGTCAACTGCTACTCTCTTCAGTCAATAAACTACTAATAAGTAAAAGTCAGATACAGTAAGGAGAATGTTAAGAATGATTGGAAGAAAAGCTGTATGAGTTAAAAACTTGTTTACATTAATTTTATTTTTAAGATAGTTTATTTTAAAGATAGTATAGTTTTAAAGCAAAGTATATAGTAGCCACAACTAAGCTAATAAATCCAAGTCCTCAGAGTCCTTTTAAATAAAACAACAGCTTTAATTTATAATTACTAGTATGATCAAAAGAATGTTAAGAACTGATTTAAGGTATTCTGATTTATAAACTTATTTTTCTAGAGTGTTCAGTATTCGTTCACTACTGGTTTGAATTTTGAGTCCCTCGTTTTTCAATAATGCAGAGATAAATTTTAGGCTAGGCTTATTCTGAATAATGTTCTATATATGTGTGAAATATTTTTCCCTTCTAAGTTGTTGGTGATTGTGTGTTTGCTGTGTTTTATGAAGTCCTTCTTAGGAATTTAGACTTGCCAGGTATTTCTTTGGGCTGAATACTTTTTAAGCTTCATAAGATAGTGGTTTTTCCAATGCACATCTTATCTGTTACCTGCCAGATTTAAGGACCACGGTACAATTATGGATAGTGAACCAAACCCTGGAACATCTTCTGTATCCACAACCACCAGTAGTACCACCACCACCACCATCACCACTTCCTCATCTCGAATGCAGCAACCACAGATCTCTGTCTACAGTGGTTCAGACCGGCATGCCGTACAGGTATTTAGCTAGGATAATGGATAGATTGAGACTAGGCTGTCATGTTACTTTTTGCTTTAGCCAGATGTATATATTAATTCATATTCTGAAATACAGTTAGACTTGCTAACATTTAGGCTGGCAATGTAGCTCAGTGGTAGAATCCTGGCCTGGCATGTGCAAGGCCCTGGATTTGATCCTCAGGATTTGTAAAAATGTTAATGTTTGAAACAACCAACTAAATTACTGAATAATCATACTGTTGAAATGGCTTGCATTTGTCAGCATGTAGCTATCTGTCTGGAGAGTTTTAACTGAAAGATCTGTAGGTGCTGTTATGAAGTGAAGATACTCAACCCAGAGTCCTACCCTACTTAGTTTCTTGTTACTGCCACGGAGTACCGATACCCACATGTTAAGCAAAAACAGGTTTATTTTGACCCATGTTTTCAGTCCAGGGTTGGCTCTTCCCAAGGCAAGAAGGTTCTGGGTGGGGCAAAACTGTTAGCACCATGGTAGCCAGGAAGCAGAGCAGAGGGGAGCATCATGGGAGGGAGACGCCCTTCCCAGCCACATGCTAGGGACTGCCTCTGACCAGGGCTGGCGACTCACCAATGCACTCAGGCCACACTTGTCAGGGGATGAATCCCTACCATGAGTACAGCACCCCTGTAATCCAGCTACCCTTTGAAAGCCCACGTCTAGGACATGAGGACATTCTAGATCTAAACTGTAACAAATCTCAACATGCAGAATGCCTCAAGGTTTTTCTGGGATTATATTTAAACCCCAAATATAGACTTGGGGAGATCTTTTCAGGTTTGTTGATATTTTAAGAGTTTTATTTTGAACTCAGGTGGCCTAAGTATCCTAATGAGGAAGATCTGTTCTATGGCTACTAGGGACAGAATGGAAAGGGAATATTTAGGAAGAGTCTTAAGCTTAGTCACTTAGTTGAGAAATTAAAGCTTTCTTAGTTTATCATAATGGAAGCAGTATGATATTGTTTGAAAAGGACATGAACAGGTGGTTGGGTTGGTACATACCTATAATCAGGAGGACAAAGCAGGAGGATCCCTATGAATTTGAGGCCAATCTGGGCTACATAGTGAGTTCAAGCCAGCCTGAACTACATAGCAAGACCTGTTTCAAAAACAAAAACACAAGTAAACCATCAGTATTACAGTATGATACACTCTTTGTTTGAATTCCATTTTCACCAATTTAGTATTAGTGTGACCTTGGGTGAGAGGTATAATCTCTTTGAGCCTCAGGAAACTATAAAATTAGGGTAAGACTGGCAGCTTCCACAGTTATTGTGAGGATTCAGTGAAGTATCTAAAACTATGTCTGATACATTATAGATGTATAGTACATAATTAATATATAGTATCTATTGAACAGTCATCTTGTGCCAAGCATTTGATAAATGCTTTTTGTAAATTGTTTAATCCTCACCACACCTCTATAAAGTAGACATAATTATCTCCACTTTACAAATGGGGAAACCAACTTTTTTTTTTTTTTTGTATTTTTACCAGTACCAGGGATCAAACTCACAACCACGGGCTTGCAAGGCAGGCGCTTATGCCGCTGAGCTAAATCCTCAGCCTCAAAACCCAACATTTTTAAAAGGCTCAATATCTTTCCTAAACCCACATAGCTAGCTAGTATATTCTCTGACTTCAGTTTGTACTCTTAACCAGTCTGAATTTTTTTTTTTAAAAAGTTTATGTTTTCTTTTTCTAAAATTTGCATAATTTTATTTATTTATTTAGTGCTGTAGTGTGAACTCAAGTCTCACACATACTAGGTAAATATTTTGTGACTGAGCATTCCCAGGCCCTCATAATTATATTAACTATTTGTGATACAGTCCTTCCTCTGCTTTTTTTTAATGGTAGATATCCGTAAGAATACAGTACAATGATTATTTCCCTGTTCCATGGTTTAGGATTTAGTTTTCTGAGGTCATTGTAGAGTGGAATCAGAACTCTTGGGGATCTAGACAGCTCAGCAGAAATTAAAAATGGAATGCAGAGTGTGCTTTTAACATTCTTGACTTTTCTCAGAGCCAAGAGATATAGAAAGGAGTATCTGAATCTTTAAGCATATGAATGATGGCCTTTTTTTTTTTTTTTTTGGTCCCTTCATCCTTTGTGATATTTTAATATGCCACTGTGCTCTTTAGTTTTTACTTAAGTTGTACATATTAATAAAAGTAGTGTTACTGGAGATACAGAGATGCATTTTGCAAATAGCTCTAGTTCTTATGAGATCATAGAATTTCTTCTAAAATGCAGTCAAATCAGTATTTATTGAATTATTTAAGTAGTTCTCTAATTTTCCAGATTTTTCAGACCTGTGAATTATCATTGTCATTTTTTAAATGCATGTGCCATGCATTTAATTTGTATTTACATGATGCCAGGAATATAGTATGGAATGGTGAAGAAAGACTAGGCTGACAATAGAAAACTACTACACTGTGACAAAAAATGTGTCACATAGATTACTCTTTTGTTATTTCAGTTTTTTATTATGAAATGAGAACATATTTTTCTGATCAAAAATGATGTTATTAAAAAAATAATGTATTACAATTCTGAATCACTTAATGCTGGCCTGTAGTTTCTTTGCAACTAGGAATCAAGAGCCTACATTGATTTTGTAGCATGAGCTTGTAGTAGGTATGGCAGTCTGTAGTTGAAGAGAAAATAAACAGTAGCCATGGAAATAACTTTTTTTTTCTTTTTTTGTGGTACCAGGGATCAAACTCACGACTGCCTGCTTGCAAGGCAGGTGCTTATGCCGCTGAGCTAAATCCCCACCCTTGGAAATACACTTTCTTAAAATTTGGATAAAGTGATTTATGGCTTTATTTTGGATAAAATTTATTTTGGATTCCAGTTGCTCTGATTTAGGCTCTCAAGCTATAGGATTATGGCTGTGTTATTCCTTTATGATTTTGAAAACCGTGGTTTGCAGCTGAGATAAGGCTCTGTGTTATGTTAGAGTTGTAGTTTATATGATAGGAATAGGGATGTGGCTGCAGAGGACTGGCATAGTTTGCCTTCTCTTTTGGACAGATGCAGACTTTCTCTGGTCTTACTAGAGTACTATACTTGATTTTTCTATGTTTATTTATATATAAGTTTTAGGCTAAATTTTTAAATATTTGCTATAATTAAAATTATTTTTCAGAAGGTTTTTTTTTTTTGTCTTTTTCATTTTTATCGGTACCAGGGATCGAACTCATGACCGCCTGCTTGCAAGGCAGGTGCTTATGCCACTGAGCTAAATCCCCAGCCAGAAGGTTTTTAGTAAGAAACATTTTATCATAAATTGAAATTAAGAAAAGCAATCTGACATTTAACAGTGTTATTTTAATTTTACATGATTATTGAAATAATATATAGTAATACCTTGGTACACGAATACTTTTTTTGGCTAACAATTCGGCTTGCAAAACCAAAGTATTCAGCAGAAGTTTTCTTCTGTTTACGAACTTTATATTACGTGACAAACATGACCCTGGCTGTCTTTCTCACAGAAGCACACATGTGATGTTCGCCAAAATCATAAAGCAAATTAAGTTCATAAGCTAAGGCACCACGGTATACTTATTTTATTTTCAGACATTTATAGAAAAGCACAAACCAGAAGTTAAAAGTTGCTTCTAATCTAGCTACCAATAAGTAGTCTTTTAAAAATGCTTTCCTGTATATCTTTTAAAATATTTTAATATAAAATGGTACCTTATTCTAAACTATTTTGTAATATGCTTTTTTTTTTTCAGCTAATGGTATATATGGGGATTTTTTTGGTAATATAGATTTGTATCTGCACTATGCAATGTATTAGCCACTAGCTATGCATATAGCTATTGCATTAAAATTAATGAAAGTTCAGTTTAGAGTTAAATCCAGTTTTTAAAAAACCTAGTGCATGAGCATTTTAATAATACTTAATAGGCTCATACTGCTAGTGACTACTGTATGGAATAGTGCTAACTTACATTACTATTTGAATTGGCTGCTTGATAAAATTACTGGTTTCCACACCTAATCTCTGATTTCTACCAACTTTTATCCAAAAAGATCATATCAATTTAAATTCTTACTCAATATAGGAAGACTTACATTCCTAGTTAGTAGAAGTATTCTTTTAAATCTTATTTGAAAGTTGGAAGACAGGATCTGGTTTTAATTTGTAAGTTTTTGACTATTAGTGAGATTGAAGATTCCCTCTGTGCTTATTTGGCTGTTCTTTTTAAATGAATTTTTTTGTATCCGGTAATCTAATTTGTAATCCTCCTGCCTCAGCCTCTAAGAGTGCTAGGATTATAGATGTGTACCATCATGTCTGGTTTGTCTGTGTTAATTGTGTAACTGTGAATCCCAGTGATAATAACTAGGAGAGAGAGATGTTAGTAAACTTGATGACTGTGGTTTGTAAAATTTTAAACTGTTTTTTTGTTTTATTTTGTTTTTTGAGACAGAGTCTTGCTATTCAGTGCAAACTGGCTTTAAACACACTATGCGGGGCTGGGGGTTTAGCTCAGCGGCGTAAGCACCTGCCTTGCAAGCAGGCAGTCGTGAGTTCGATCCCTGGTACCGATAAAAAGGAAAAAGACAAAAAAAAAAAAAAAAAAAAAAAAAAAGAAACACACTATGCAACCCAAGCTGGCCTCAAACTCCCAGTGATCTTCCTGCCTCAGGCTCCCAAGTGCTAGGGTTACAGGCGTGTGCCACCATGCCCAGTTTTCAACCTGCTTTTTAATACTTTTTTATTTTATGATGAAGATTAAAGGTTGAGCTAGGGTCATAGTTCAGGAATAGATTATGTGCTTATTTACTGTGTATTTACAAAGCTCAGAGAGAGATGGAGATTATGACTTGACATTGGTTCAATTGACTTATCACAGGTAATTCAACAGGCATTGCATCGCCCCTCCAGTTCAGCTGCTCAGTACCTTCAGCAGATGTATGCAGCTCAGCAGCAGCACTTGATGCTACACACTGCCGCCCTTCAGCAGCAGCATTTAAGCAGCTCCCAGCTTCAGAGTCTTGCTGCTGTTCAGGTGAGACTGGAATAAGAATAATTTATGAGACCAAAGTTTACATTATCTTCAGATAATTACTGAAAAGAAATACACTGGTTATTATTGCAGAGTTCTCATGTATCATGTGATTATTTTTCCTGAAGCAAATATGTTAACAGACTGTCAAACAGAAGCAAATGGGGGAAAAAAGTGGTATGTTGTATGTGTTATTACATTTTTTTTTTGGTACCAGGAATAGAACTCAGGACCTTATACTTGGCAGGCAGGTGCTAGACCACTGAGCTCTATTCCCAGCCCTGTGTTACCATTTTTTAGCTATTGTTTTTTATTAGTACATACCTATCATACATAGTGATCACATTCATCATAGGGAATTTGTACCTGTACATAATGTATTGTAATTCTTTTTTTCCCCTATCTCCTCCCTTGCCTTCAATCGTTCTTCTTGTCTCCACTTATAAAAGATTTGTCTCCATTTTTTTACTTGCATTGTCTTTCTTCCCTTTTTCTTTTCCTTTCTTTCTCTCTCCCTTTCCTTTGTTCTCTTCCTTGTTTGAACATATTCTGTGCATTACTTATGCTAGCTTTTGTCTCATTGCTTTTTTTTCCTCCACTGGATTGGTTATTAAATCTAAGTCCTTTGTACTGATCTGCATCGGCACCCCTTTATTATTTTATAGTTTTAGACTGATTCTCGCTAAGTTGCCCAGGCTAGGCTAAGACTTGCAATCCTCCTGCCACAGCTTCCAAGTGTGCTAGGCTTATTGGTGTGCACCATCATGTCTGGCTTGTCTAACTGTGTTTTATCTAAATTGGAGAAATGCTGTGCTAGTGCTGTGGTTTTGTGTTCAAAATTCTAGGTACCTCACTGATTACTTAGGGTTATGTGAATTATATTTCTATTTTAACCAAAAATAAGTTAGTTATGTAAGTAATTTATATTTGTTTAAAAAAATCAAACACTGTAAAGTTGTAAGATTAAAAAAAGTAGAGATGTTCTTTTCCACACTTAGCATGTTTTCCACACTTCAGAAATAACCACTGTAACAGTTTGCATGTGTATCTCCTAAAACTTTGTTAAAAAATACATATAGAAATCTCTGTAAAATCCAACTATATTATTCCAATAGTAACACAATAAGGTAATGATTAAATGCTTCTTTTTTTATGTTAGTGCATGTTTGCTATATAGAATAATAATGTTCATTTTGGGGAATTGGTAAATGTATATAACGTGCCTTCATCGTTTTCAGTCTCTTTACCTCCCTCTTCCTTCTACCTGCCTACCCTGATCTCCTTCCCCTTGTACAAGAGTCTGCCTTTTGGTTTCCTGTCACATCTCCTTTATATTATTCATTCATTCATGCATTCATTTACATTTTTGGTTCTCATGTAAGAGAAGACATGCAATTTTGTACTTTCTGAGTCTGGCTTATTTTACTTTACATGATGGTTCATCCACATTCTTGCAGATGATGTGGTTTTATTCTTTATGGTTGAAATGTGAATTGCGTTGCTATAAACATTGATTAAATCTTTACGTTTTAAAAAAGGTTTTCATTAATGTTACACTTTTTAAATAACAGTCTGTGTTAGATTTAATCTTAAATGTCCTCACCAGAGCAGAGTCTCACTTGACTGAACCTGAAAAAAGGTTTATTTCTGTTACCAATAGATACCAGCTGTTGCTGTATCTGTGTTCATAGTATGAGTTAGGAAACAGAAACTCACTGGCTCTTGATGTAGCTTCAGTTTCTTTTTTGTAATGTTGGTGTAGTGATTCCATGTCAGAGATGATAGACACCTGTAAAGTAAAACTGACTTGAGTATAGCTAGCAAAATAAGATTAGCTGTTAGATCATATTTTCAGCTTTCACTTTTCTTCTTTTTTTGGGTAAAATTTGTTGGGCCAAAGATTAAGCCATGTTAACCACAAAATGAGTTATTTCATACATCTCTGCTTTTTTGTGTATGTGTTTTGTGTTATCGTGCAACCTGGAATGTTTCTAACTTGAGGTTTTTATAGACATATCATAAAGATCTTATATTTTAGGCAAGTTTGTCTAGTGGAAGACCATCTACATCCCCAACAGGAAGTGTCACACAGCAGTCAAGTATGTCTCAGACTTCTGTAAGTACCCTTTTCCTGTATTAAAACATTTTTACATTTTAAATTACAAGTAAACTTTTTATTTGTGAGGCTGTTACTGCATGTGTTGCATGCCATTTAAGTGCCTAGAAATACAAGAGTGAGACTGGAGAGTTCAGAGTTAATATGAAGCTTCTGAAAATGAGTCTTAAAATTTTTTTTTTGTATTTTTTATGTATCTTTTTCTGATTATGTGCGGATGTCATGTGATTCTAAATTATTTCAGTTTTCATTGTAAATTGAAATATAAATTATAGGTATATTGGTCAACCATTTACTGTGATATACTAAAATATGTTACATTGTTGGTGGACATCCAAATATTTCTAGATTTGTGCAGTTCACATTTCTAGAAATTATACTTTTCAGTTTAAGTGAGTTATTTGGGTCAAATTTACAAGTACCCAATATTCAGGATGGGTAATTTATTTTGAGAGGGAGTAAAAGAAAGCTATTTTTCTGTATTATAGTATATACTGAGAAAACATGCAAAAGTTTCATGGAAAAAAATTTATTGTTGTGGTAATACATTTCTAACCTAATTTTGATATAATTTCAAATTGCTACACTAATAAAAAATTCTCTGTACTGTCTACTGAGATTTATCTGTTACCATTTTTTTTTTTTGCATTACCTTTTCTTTTTTTTTGTAAATATACATACTATTTTTTCTGAACCATTTGTGGGTAAGTTTAGACATGCTTTTGAGTTCTTTGATATGTATTTCCTAAGAACAAGGTTGTTCCTTATGAAGCCACAGTAAAATTACTAAATTCCAGAAGTTTAACAGATCCAATATAGTTCATATTCAGATTGCATCAGTTTTCTTGGGTTTCTCAACCTTGTAAAACATGGTGGGCCAGATAGTTCTTTGTTGTGGGAGATTATCATGTGCATTCTGGAATGCAAGATTTCTAGCATCTGAACAGTAGATCAGGCTGTGGCCTTCTTCCTTTCTGCAATATGACAATCAAAAATCCTTCAGGCTATACTGACTTGGATTAAAAATCATTTTAGATATTTTGCCCTGATCCAGGATGGTAGAATTTGATACTTTTTTAATAAAGGTAACTCCTGCAGAATATACTTTGTAGGTTTTAAGGATTCAAACTTGTGTATTTCTTTAGCTAAGTGTTTGATCTTGCTGAGTATATGTTGTGTTCAGTGTATAGTTATTTTTCTGGCTATTGTTGTGGCACTTGTAGTTTAAGAATTATTTTTTTTTTTCCAGCGTGGGAGTATTCTGGAATATAAGCAAAATTGGTTAAAAAATTACTATTTGGAAGCCAGGTGTGGTGGTGCATGTCTGTAATCCCAGTATCAGGAGGCTGAGGAAGGAGGATCACTGTGAGTTTGAGGCCATCTGGGGCTACATTGCCAGCCTTTACATAGCAAGACCTTGTCTCATCCCCTGCCCCCAACAATAACAAAAAAATTATGACTTAGAAATGGTAGACTGAGAAACATGAAAAATTTAAGTAATTGCTTAAGCATGAATACTATAGTTATGATTTGATATTAGATGTCTGAATTAATACAGTATCAGTAAAGGAAATGAGTGGTAAATATTTTGGGGGCTAAATAAATAATAGACAAAATCTTTATTCTGTAAAATACTGGAATGATCTCATTATGATTTCATGTATATGACATTCACAGAAATAATTCCAGTGATTGTGTTTATTTTTTATGGCATTGTTATTGCTACTTGTCATCAGCCAGGCAGCATTGTACCATGAAGTATATCAGAATTTGTGAATGACTGGTTGGGGAAAAGTATGGAGGGAGAATAGATGCCCAGGAGAAAAAAGCAATGAACAATATATCTTATAAGTTTTATTTATTATTTGAGGTAACTATTCGTTGAGTTGTCTAGTAGTTAGGTAAGTTAAGGTCATTATTTAAAAGACAGAACATGGTAACATAAATTTCTGGGTAATGATAATAATGAACCATTAGGTAGTAGTCTGGTATTTTGGGCGTGTAAGCCACTGAGCTAAATCCCTACCAGTCTGGTATTTTCAGATTTGTATATTTTGAGGCAGATTTTCAAGTAATAGTGAAGTCATTGGGAAGGGGGTTCAGCCTCCACAGAAAAAAGGACTACAAATAGGTTCTCAAGTAACCACCTAAATAAATTGGGGTTTAGAGTAGAAATGGAATCTCAGTGGGGGAATGAATATTACATAAAAATTAACTCAAAAGTTCAGTCATAGGTCTTAGGGAAACTAAGTTTGTGGTTCGGGGAACAGACTATGGTTAATTGAATGTCTGGCAAATGCCAGCATCCTCTTCATTTTCCTTCTTGGAAAAGGACAAGTAATTCTAAATCATTATTAGTAGTGATGAGGGAGATTTTGTAATATTTGGCTCTAAAACTAATTGGGACTAGCCTTGTGTGTTTGTGAATACCTGTAATCCCAGCACTGTGGGAGGGTAAGGCAGGAGATCATGTAGTCAATTTAGCAGCTTAGTGATGAGACCCTCAAAATAAAAAAGGGCTGGAGATATAGCCTAGTGTGAAGGCCCTGGGTTCAGTCCCCAGTAACCACCCCCACTCCCGTAAACATGTTCGGACTGAGCCGTTTAGGTTGGTTGTTTAGCACTTCAATTGAATGCGGCTAAGATTTAGTTCAATTTGGTTTGCTAAAATGAAATCTAAATCAATCTAAAACTGCGGCTTTCAAAACAAAAGACAAAAAAAAAAAAAAAAAAAAAAAAAAAGAAACCAACAGAAGCAAAGTTAAAAATAAAATGAAAGAAAATATGTTTGCACCGGGTTTGTCAACTTTATATTTTTAAAATAGAAAAGACTCTATCATGTTAGTAAGTAAACAGTGAAGACTCACAAAAGATCCTGAGAGGTTTTTTTTTGTTTTTTGTTTTTTTAATTTTTTTTTGTCTTTTTTTCATTTTTATCGGTACCAGGGATCGAACTCACGACTGCCTGCTTGAAGGCAGGCGCTTACGCCGCTGAGCTAAATCCCCAGCCCCTATCCTGAGAGTTTTAAAAGAAAGGCTGAGAATGTAGGTCCTCGGCCTAACAAGAGTGTGTCCTTGAGTTCATTCCTAGCATGCAGGCACACACACATGCATGCATACACGCATGCAGACTGTTTTTGTTTTTTAAACACATAACAAAACATTCGCCGTATTAATAGTAAATAAATATATGTAAAAATAGCAATTACATGCCATTTGATTGTTCCTGTTAAATAAGAAAACAAGGGAACACATTTAGACCATGCCCAGTGCTGGCAAGGAGTGAAAAAGTATGCACGTTCATATACTTTTTAATGAGAATGAATGTACGTTGGGACAACTTTTCTGGAGTTGACAGTATGCGTGAAAATTTAAACTGTATATGCCCTTTACTAAAACACTTGGCCAAGTATGTGCAAGGTCATGGGTTCAATCCTCAGCACTGAAAAAAGTCACGTGTGTGAAAAATTTACATGCAATGTAAGTTTCCATTAATTGCAGATTAAGTAAGTGATAGTTCATATAATGGAATACTCACTATAGCTACTAAATTGCTGTACGCATGCATATAGAGATGTTTTTCATTATGTATTAAGTAAAAACATAATGTACTAAATTTTTATTTAGTTCCAAATATATCTCTAAGGTTATATTTTAGTCTTAGTTTTAGGATATGTTGATTGCCTTTTTCATTCAGTTTAAGGTTTCCCTGGTCATTGGTATGATAAATGATTTTTTTAATTGAAACTCAGACATTGTTACTATTTACATTTTAGAACTGAATCTTACTTAAATCTTCTGAGTGGTAGGCTCTGCCACCTTCTTACTGCCTTAGGGGATGGAAATACAGTGCCGCCTTTTGGCCTCTGCTGACAGCTAAGGGGCTGCTTCTCGTAATTGCCAGATGATCTGGGGTAGAAGTTCCAGGGTTTTTTTCAAGCCCTCTATGGAAGTCTCCCTGCCTAGGAGGAGCAGGAGTGCTTTTGTTACTCACGTTCTGCCATGGTACATTGGGATGGTGGTGATGATTTATTACCCCCTAATTCAGATGAAAGTCCCAACTAGCTCTTTGCCTGGCCTTCTCTGACAGTAATCAGTTGTGGGTGTTGGGGGAGTTTGGATAGTTTCTTACAGCTCATTGAGGGTAGAAGTCTAGTTTTTTGCAGAGGTAACAACTACTCTGATTTCTTCCTTTCCTGGTCCTTTGGTTAAAAAGAACTGGCTTTTGTTAGGCTGTTTGTGCTCATTGTGTTCCTGATTTACTTCTTTACTCCAGGTTTGAATTATATGAGACAGACAAAGCAAAACCAGGTAACTTGCTACCACGTTGTTCACCTGGGTATTGAAGTCTGTTTTTACCTATTTTATGATATCTTATTTATCTTTTACACCCTGGGATTCTGGTTGTACTTACTGGGAAGAACAGGGAAAAATGCATGTACTCTGTTTTTCTGGAAACAGAATTTTTGTCATTTAATTTACTTAAAAATATATCTATATATTTGTCTGATTATGCAGGCAGACAATCTTTAATATTACAAAGTAAATTATTATCCCTGGTTGTCTCTGAGGAAGAAATTTGAAAACTTTATTTTTAAATGTTATATTGCTTAAATAAAACATGAATAAACTGTTAACCAGAGAGACAGGCAGAGAGAGAGGGAAAGAGAGAGAGAGAGAAAGAGAAAATGTACCTGGATATCAGAAACATGCTTGCAAACCCAGCACCCTGGGAAGCTAAGGCTGAAGATTGTAAGTTGGAGCCATCCTGGGCAATTTCATGGTTTAATGAGACACTATCTCAAAATTTAAAAAAAAATTAAAAAGATGTGGGGAGGTAGCTCACTGCAAAGGGTTCAGTCCTCAGAGCTAGGAAAACAAAACACTACAGCTATTTCCATTTCCCTTCTACATTTTTCCTGAGAAGGTCTTGTATGAAACTCTCATCTTCTTGTTATGTATTGCTATGCATAAATGTTAGTAGCTAGCTACTAACATTT